TAAAAGGTGCCAGGAAGAGACAACCTGTTAACCCACTGGCATAGTTAATGCCATGGGAGGTTTGGATTTGGAAGCAATCCTGACTTTGAACTTCAGTTCCAGCACTTCTTAGCAGTGTGGCCTCTATCAGGTTACTTAGCTTCCTTCCCTAAAATGAGACTCCCAACAGTCCCCTCCTCAGAGATGGGAATGAACCAGTGGGAGTATACAGAGATTCAAAGCCCTGGGCGGCTGTAAGTTTGTAAAATCAGCAGGCAGGCTCTTCCAGGACCCACTAACCTACTCCCCTACCCCAGTTGCTGCCACGCCCAGCTCTTCCAAGCCCAGGGTAAAGTCAAGGAATCATCACTTCCACCTTTCACTGAGTACTTGCCAGGTCTCAGAGGCCACATATTGCCCATTAACACCCAGTGTAGGTCTGAGCATGGTGGCTCATGCCTAAAATCCCAGCACTTTGGGAGGCCGAGGAGGGCAGATCACTTGAGGTCAGGAGTTCAAGACCTGCCTGGCCAACATGATGAAACCCTGTCTATACTGAAAATACAAAAATTAGCCAGGCGTAGTGGTGGGTACCTGTAATCCCAGCTACTCAGGAGACTGAGGCAGGAGAATTGCTTGAACTAGGGAGGCGGAGTTTGCAGTGAGTTGAGATCACACCACTGTACTCCAGCCTGAGTGACAGAGCAAGACTCCGTCTCAAACAAACAAAAAAAATGTGTAGGCCAGGCACAGTGGCTCACACTTGTAACCCCAGCACTTTGGGAGGCTGAGGAGGGAGGATTGCTTGAGCCCAGCAGTTCAAGTCTGCAGTGACTGATGATTGCACCATTGCGCTCCATCCTGGGCAACAGAGCAAGACCCCATCTCTTATTAAAAACAACAGTGTTGTACAATGAGTTTAAAACTCATTGAATAGAAGCAGAAACAGGCTTACAGAAGTGATATGACTTGCCCAGGGTCCCTCACCTAGGGTGATCCCAGATCTCTCTCCACAAAGCATGACCTGGCTGAAGGTTATACCTGGAGCCTACCTAGGACTCTCCCATGTGGGCTTCAGATGCGGTCCTCCAGGAAGAGTAGTGCTGGGGCACTGCAGAACCCAGCACTTTGTCTAGGGCAGGAGCCAGTGACCACAGAGTCCTCTGATCTGTGGCTCCTGCCAGACCACTGTCTCCAAGCTGGGTACCCCCAGAGGCTGTACACCAGGGCCTGGGATGGCAAGAAGTAGAGAAGGAATTGGGCCTGGAGCCAGCTGCTAGGCAGGAGCAGGTGGCATGTGTTCGCTGTATCTGTGTGTGTCTATAATGGGAAAACAGCTGCCCTGGCTCCCTGAATCTTAATGTTGGAAGAGAATGCCTGAGCTGCAGCCTCTTGACAGCTCCCTTTCTGACAGGTGGCTGCCCAGCATCTGTTGACACACCTCCAGGGTGGTGAGCTCATTTGCATCCAAACAGCATCCATTGATAGGACACTTTGGGATATACCTGCATATTTTTGCATTTGTGGTTAGAAAACTGTGTGAGGGCCCAAGGTCACAAGTTTACGGTCTCTGCATGGGGCACTCCCTACCCCTCCTGCTTTTACCAGCCCATCTGTCATAGGCCTCTGCCTTGCTCTCAGCTTGCAACTTGGAGCAGCTGGAGGCTTCTGAAATAGAAATAGCTCTAGCTTCATAGGGCTTCTTGGCTGCCCATCACAAAAGCAGATTCCTCAGTGGCCTCTTTTACCCACCACTCCACCTCCCACTACCCTCTCTTGGCCAGACCTTACATTGTTTAGTTGTCAATTGATTTAGAGGAAAGGCTAAGGAAAGTGGAATGGAAGCTTTGTGAGTGCAGTTACCCTATGTGCCCTGTATGTCACTGATCCACAGCACCCGGGACAAGGTGGCCCACAGAAGACGGTGGGTGAAGGATGGATGAAAGATGGTTGAAGAATGGATGAAGAATGGATGGATGGATGGGATGGATGGAGGAAGAGGGTAGATAAGTAGGTGGGTAGCTGGAGAGATAGATAGGTGGATGGATGGAGAGGAGGGTGGATGGGTGAATGGATGGATGGACAGTTGGATGAATGAATAGGAGGAGAGATTTCCCAATGGATTTGAGTGAGTCCTGGACTCCTGCATGTCCTCTGCCATCACTTTCTCCCAGGGATCAGCACTAGAGCAAGGATCACTAGCTTTTCAGACAATGGTACTTGTTAGTATTCTAAATAATACTAAAATAACTGCTTACATTTTCCCAGCAATTGACAAAGCACCTTTTTTTTCTTTTTTTTAAGAAATAGGGATCTTGTTATGTTTCCCAGGCTGAACTCAAACACCTGGGCTCAAGTGGTCTTCCTGCCTCAACCTCCCAGTTTGTCAAGTAGCTAGCACTACAGGCACATGACACCATGCCTGGTTACAAAGCACTCTCACTTACCCTCTCTTATTTGAACTTCACGATAGTTCTGTGAGGTTATTCTCCCCCTTTTACAGATGAGGAAACTGAGACCAGGATGTTCTGTTCCTATGATTGGTTATGGTTCCATCCAGCAGCAAGGGGCTAGAATGGACTCTGTTTTCTTCACTACACCCCAGTTAGCCTGTCTTCTCCCAAGCATTTCTCTTGCCTTTTCGGCTGCTGAAATTTCTAAATCCGAGTTAGTCACTGAAACTGTACCTGCCTGCCTAATCAGTGCCACCCCTGCTGGGATCCTTTTGTTGGAGCCAACAGGGATTTGCTAGGGAGAAGGAGAATTCAAGGAGACAGGGAGCCTCCATATGTATCCCAGACATCTGAACAGATAACGTAGAGCTCAGCCTACTCCTCAGGGAGCTTCAGGGAAGGAAGAGGTGTCACATTCCCCAACTCCCATCATCTCCCACCACTGTTCCCTCTCAGCCCCTGCGGAGGGTGAAGCGCTGGAAAGAGCAGAACTTGGAAGTCAAATTGTTGCCTACAAATTGTCTCTTGCCTGAACTAGCTGGGTGACCTCAGATAAATCACTTACCCTCTCTGGGCCTTGGTGTCTTCATCTGTGAAAAAGGGTATCTGGCATCCACTTCACAGAATTGTTGTAAGGTTCCAATAAGTGAACCACTTAGCACCATGTCTGGCTCATCTGGGCCCTCATTGAGTGTCTGCTGGCCCTGTTAGAAGCAACATGGGGAAAGAGGATGTGCAGACTGAATATCCCATAACTAGCCGGGCGCAGTGACTCACACTGGTAATCCCAGAACTTTGGGAGGTGGATCACTTCAGGTGTGGAGTTCAAGACCAGCCTAGCCAACATGGTAAAAACCCCATCTCTACTTGAAATACAAAATTAGCTGTGCAAGGTAGCATGAGCCTGTAATCCCAGCTACTTGGGAAACTGAAGCAGGAGAATCACTTGAACCCAGGAGGTAGAGATTGCAGTGAGCCAAGATCATGCCATTGCACTCCAGCCTGGGCGACAGAGTGAGACTCCAAAATCCTCCAATGAGCATTTCCTTCAAGTATCATGTGGGCACTCAAAAAGTGTGGGATCTTGGAGTTTTTCAGATTAGGGACATTTGACCTGGGCCTTGGTTCAAATTCTTGCTCTATCACTTATCAACTGTGGTGCCTTAGGTAAATTCCTTAGCCTCCCTGAGCTATCATTTCCTCATTTCTATAGCAGAGATACCAAACTTAACATAGCATGAGTATTGTAAGGCATTATTTCCCCAAATGTGGCATGCAAGGTGGTACATGAAGTGACCTAAGGGGGGACAACAGCAAAATATTGAAATTTTAACTGTGAAAGATGTTTTTTGTTTTGTTTTTGTTTTTGAGATGGTCTTGCTCTATTGCCAGGCTGGAGTGCAGTGGTGCAATATCGTCTCACTGCAACCTCCATCTCCTGGAATCAAGCCATTCACCTGCCTCAGCCTCCTGAGTAGCTGGGATTACAGGTGCGTGCCACCATGCCCAGCTGCCCAGCTAATTTTTGTATTTTTAGTAGAGACGAGGTTTTACCATGTTGGCCAGGATGGTCTCGATCTCTTGACCTCATGATCCGCCTGCCTCAGCCTTCCAAATTGCTGGGATTACTGATGTGAGCCACCATGCCCAACCAAGAGTTTGTTTTACATATACTAGAAAAAATATATAAAAATGATATCAAGGCCGGGCACGGTGGCTCACACCTGTGATCCAAGCACTTTGGAGGCAGGCAGATCACCTGAGGTCAGGAGATCAAGACCCGCCTGACCAACATGGTGAAACCCTGTCTTAAAAAAAAAGTGATATCAAAACATTATTTTTTAGAACAATGCTAACTTTTATCCTTATTGATATTTAAGGGGGAAATTGGGCAGTTGAAACAAGTGTGTTGAGTAAATAGGGGTCCAGGCAGCATGCAGACAGAGCAGGAATTGAGAAGGGGATCTGGGAATGGAGTTTGCTTAACTCTATGAAATAATAGAAAAGAATGCAAATAACTCTATGAAATAATAGAAAAGAATGCAAATAACTCTATGAAATAATAGAAAAAAAGCCAAGTGCAATACCTGACTCTAGACTAAATCCTGGACTGTAAGGAAAGAAATGCTGTAAAGGACATTATTGTGTCCACTGCAGAATTAGAATACAGATGATAGATGAGATAACAGTGTGGTATCCATGTTAAATTCACCAAAGTTGACAACTGCATTGTGCTTATGTAAGAGAATATCTGTCCTTAGGAAATGCACACTGAGGTATCTAAGGATAAAGGGCTGTGATGTATGCAACTTACCTTTAAATGGTGCAGAAACGTGTGTGTGTATATATACAATGCAGAGAGAAATCAACCAAGCACATTGGAGTAGTGGAAGAAACTGGGTAACAAGCATTTTCTGTAACTGTTTTTATTTTTGCAACTTATGTAAGTTTAATGTTATTTTCAAATAGTAAAAATGTAAGCAGTACAGGTCAAGTCCACAGCCCAGGGCCCAGCCATGGAAGCCACTTAGTGAACTCTCCGGCTTTCTCCCCTTCTCTCCTGGCCAGTGTGGAGACAGTGAATGACGGGCAGTTTCACAGTGTGGAGCTGGTGATGTTAAACCAGTCCTTGAACCTGGTAGTGGACAAAGGAACCCCCAAGAGCCTGGGGAAGCTCCAGAAGCAGCCAGCAGTGGGCATCAACAGCCCCCTCTACCTTGGAGGTAATGCCCTCTTTCCCTACCACCTCCAGCACCTCCACCTCCCACCAGCCCTCTGTGCACCAGTACAAACCCAGGCCACTGCCAAAGCCAATCAGGGAAAGCTTCCTGGAGCAAGGGACAACCTCTTGCTCCAAGCTAATCTCTAAAAGGGTGAACAGGCATTAGCCAGGCTATGGGGAAAAGATTATTTTGGACAAAGATTGCTTGGAAAGGGGAGAGAGCAGGACTCCTTCTGGAGACTACAAGTTGTGAGGGGGAGGGGACACAGCGGGAGGCAGGAGATGGAAGCAGGGTCTAGGCTATGCTAAAGTCTGCCAGCTTCAGGTCATATTCCCTCTGCTCTGCCACCTCCTCAAACCCTGAGAAGAACAAGTTTGAGATTAAAATCAAAGGCCAAAAATGGAAGTAAGCCAGATGCCGTGGCTCACACCTGTAATCCCAACACTTGGGGAGCCAAAGGTGGGAGGATTGCTTGAGTCCAGGAGTTGGAGAGCAGCCTAGGCCACATAGTGAGACCTCATCTCTACAAAATATTTAAATTATCTGGGCATCATAGCGAGCACCTGTAGTCCCAGCTACTTGAGAGGGTGAGGTGGGAGGATCGCTTGAGCCCAGGAGGTTGAGACTGTAGTGAGCTATGATTGTGCCACTACCCTCCAACTTGGGTGACAGAGTGAGACCTTGTCTTTTTAAAAAAAAAAAAAAAAAGTCATCAGTTTGGCAGAATCTGGGCCTGAAAGGCAGCCACTGCACCAATAGTTCTCAAAGGGTTAACTGTAAAAAATGCTACCAGAACCAGTCCTTCAGTCCCAAGATTCCTGAGACTTCACCCACAGAGTCCATCTGCAGATACTGGCACAGGCCTAGAAGAGGGCATTGTTAATGGGTGGTTCAGATGCAGGGAGGCCAGGGAAAGCTCTGGGCTGAGGGCAGCCCCAGAAGGACACCACTTCACCCTGGAGGAGGACCATGCCCCCACCCCACCAGCTCCAGGTACAGCCAGAATAGAACTGGGTGCCCTGCTTCTAGGCCAGTCCCAAGCTCTCAACTGTAGAAGGTGGGCAGAGAGTAGTGTAGAAGGGGAGAGAAAACACAAATCAGGCTTTATTGAAAAGCAAATTAGGTCTTTACTAACAGCCTTTTGAAGACCCTGAGAAGAGGGGTACACAGCACAGAAGGCAGCAAACTGGTCTCAAAACACTGAACCCCAAAGTCTCATTGATCAAGCCGCTCCCCCAAACCTTATCTTCTCTCCGCAGCTGTAGCTCGCCTGCCCTGGGTTCTCTTGCGAGGCCTGGATCAGAGGGCTGAGGGGCCTGGTGGGGACGACAGGTTATTTGGTGCACTTGTCTATGGGGGCGGACCCCTCAGTTCAGCCAGTGGGGTCATAGCGCAGAGGGCAACCAGATCATCTTATTTTTTCTAGGGAAGCCAGAGATACAAATTTTTATGGGGAATTTTCTAATATTGCTATTAGCAACAAATTCACGTTTTTTAAGGAGTCCCAGTGCAGGACCAAGGATGCATGTCCCTATGTGGACAAGGTCCAAGGTTTTGGCCCGTTAACCTCCTTTGAACAACAGAGGCCCAGAGCTCTGAACATTTAGCTGTGAATGTGTGAAAAGTGCTTTCTCACTCTGAGGACAGCAGGGTGGCAGGGGAAGGTCTTCAGGCCACTGTCCTGGCTCCCCTCCCACAGGCATCCCCACCTCCACCGGCCTCTCCGCCTTGCGCCAGGGCACAGACCGGCCTCTAGGCGGCTTCCACGGCTGTATCCACGAGGTGCGCATCAACAACGAGCTGCAGGATTTTAAGGCCCTCCCGCCGCAATCATTGGGAGTCTCACCAGGCTGCAAGTCCTGCACTGTGTGCAAGCATGGCCTGTGCCGCCCCGTGGAGAAGGACAGCGTGGTGTGTGAGTGCCACCCAGGCTGGACAGGCCCACTCTGCGACCAGGAGGCCCGGGACCCCTGCCTCAGCCACAGGTCAGTGTCCCGAAGCCCTGGGTATGTGCTTGGGCTCCCAGTGTGGCTCAGCCCCACCCCACCTGAGAAATAGACACCACTGGATTCTGGAGCAATCGCAGTCAGGCTGCAGATAGGTTCTATAGAAGTGTAACTGCTTAAGAATTCAAGAGGCTGAGCCTGCACCTCTGAGCAGCCAGTCCTGCTTACAGGAATCAGCATAAGAGGGCCTTGCCCAAAATACTTGTCTCTACCAGGTGGCCTTTAGAACCTAATTCGAAAAAGGCACCCATGTGGGCAGACTCAGCCTGTGCAAGGCACCAGGTGCATATAACCAAACACAGTCAAACCATATTTAATAGTATAAGCAACTACTCATTCAGCAAAGATTTACTGAGTTCCTGCTACGTACCAGGCCTCAGGAGATCCAGTACTGTCAGTGTTAAGAAACCGGAATCAGCCAAAAATAACACCAGAGCCAACACTGGCAATGTGATTGTCTAAACACATTGCCACATCAGTCAGGAAATTATCTGAAATCAGGAATAAGGAAAGGGTTTGAGGTTCCTATGTTGCTCCAGAGCATGCACACGTGTGTGTGTGTGTGTGTGTGTGTGTGTGTGTGTGTGTGTATGTGTGTGTGACTCTGTAATATGGATCCCGGCCCTGCATGTCATCTCAATAGGGAGAGTGATGTATTGTGATTCAGAATATAGGCTTTACTGTCATTTTTTTCCACAGGTGAAATGTACTGCATAGGAGCAATAGGCAGAGTTGTGATGGAAATTTAGAGCAATACTGGGTGTAAAGCACTTAATTCCTGTTACATAGCCAGGGGTACCTGCTGGTAGCAGTGGGGTGGTAGAAATTCTTATTTAAGATGCTAAAGCAATTAAAATGTATAGCAAATGCCTAGATTCTTCCAAGCAGTTGGCTACATGAGGTGTGTGTGTAAATCAGCAAGCCAGCCTCTGCTGTGGCCACAGCTCACAGTGAACACTGGGTGACGCTCTCGGGCTTCTGGCTGGTTGTCCAGGGGAACAGGGTGGTTAAGAGATGCTCAGCGTAGGAGATGGAGAAGGCTATTGGACTGCATGCAGCTCTGGCTTCCCTGGTCCCTGGCTGGTGGACAGAGGGAGTCCTCAGCAGCACCAACCCTGGTCTGGCGCTCCCTTCCCATCCTCCCCTCTGCCCCCAGCTGCAACCATGGAAAATGTGTGGCAACCGGGACCTCATACATGTGCAAGTGTGCTGAGGGCTATGGAGGGGCCTTGTGTGACCACAAGAATGACTCCACCAACGCCTGCTCAGCCTTCAAGTGTCACCATGGGCAGTGCCACATCTCGGACCGAGGGGAGCCCTACTGCCTGTGCCAGCCCAGCTTTAGCGGGGAGCACTGCCAACAAGGTGGGTCTATGGTGCCTGTGGGAGGGAGGAAGCAGGGGTCAGAGTTGGACTTCACATCCAGATCACCTCACTTCCAGTTCTGGCTGTGCCACTTAAAGTCTAAATGATCTTGGTTCAGTCACTTTCTGAGCCTCAATTTGAAAACAGGGACAATACTACACCTTCCTGTATCAGTTATCTAGTGCTGCATAACGAGTTAGTTCCAAACCATAGCAGCTCAAAACCACAATAAACATTTTTTAGCTCACATTATTCCTGTGGGTTGGAAATTCAGCAAGAGCCTAGCTGGGATCTCTTGAGGTTGCATTTGACACAGCCGGGGCTGCAGTTCTCTGTAGGCTAACCCGAAGCAGCAGGATCTGCTTCCAATGTGCTGCACTCCCATGGCACTGGGTGTTGGTAGGAGGTCCCTGTTCTGCCCTGCATGAGTCCCTACATGGGCTGTAGAGGGTCCTCGCACCAGGGCAGCTGGCATATCCCAGAGTGAACAGTCCAGGAGAGAGCAAGCCACATGTCTTACATGACCTACAACTGGAAGTCACTCATGCCATCATTTCCACCACATTGCATTGGTTACATCAGTCAGTGAGGGAGGGGACCACATAAAGGGTGTCAGTACCAGGAGATGATAGTCACTGGGGGCCATCTTGGAGGCTGGCTACTGTGCTTCCTTATAGGGTTGTTGGGAGGCGTATGTAAGATGTAAAGTCGGAAGCAACTCTGTCACAATGAAGAAGGCCAAGCTCTCATTTAGAATCTGCATGACCTTGACCAGCCTGGTCAACATGGTGAAACCCTGTATCTACTAAAATTATAAAAATTGCCTGGGCATGGTGGCAGTCACCTGTAATCTTAGCTACTCGAGAGGCTGAGGCAGAAGAATCATCTGAACCCAGGAGTCAGAGGTTGCAGTCAGCCTAGATCAAACAGGGTGACAGAGTGAGACACTGTCTCAAAAAAAAATATTCTGCATGACCCTGAGCAGCATACTCTGGTTCACTTCCTCATCCATATAGGGCCAGGAGTGGTGGGTCGTGCCTGGAATCCTAGCATTTTGGGAGGCCAAGGTACAAGGATCGCTTGAGCCCAGGAGCTTGAAGCTGCAGTGAATGCACCACTGCACTGCAGCCCAGGTGACAGCATGAGACCCTGTCTCTGAGGAAAAAACAAAGTGTAGATGACTCATACCACCTCTGCACAGGGTTAAGTGAGGTCCTAATAAATAATGGATCAAAAGTTCAGATTCTTAAGCATGGACTTTTTAAAGATGAAACAAACAAGTGTAGAAAATGGTCCTCAGTGGACCTCTGCAAGGAGAACACGAGCAGAATGGATGACTCTTTTCTCCACTTTTCTAGCTATTGGCCTTGAGATGCCTTCAAAACTAATGCAAACCGTAGCCATTCAGAGTGGTCCCCTGACGTTGACTGGCACCATTGACATCGCTTGGGAGTCACAGAAATGCAGGCTTCCAGGCGCCACCCCAGCCCTTTCAAGTCAGAACCTGCATTTTGCAATGTTTCGCATATGTATCCAAGCTGAGGAGGTTGCTCCACAGCCTTGATCCAACCCTCCTGCCCTCACTGGGTCAGCTGAAGCCAGTTCTTTGGTCTGACCTAGTCATAATCATCCAATTACTTATCTTGGTTAGTGGCCTCTTTATCATATAATTGTGAGGTGAGCTCACCAAAGGAAAAATATATGAACATTAAAATAGTTGTCTCACCTTGAGGGTCTTTCTCTTGCATGGACACTGAGAAGCCTTGCTCCCTGCCACCAGGATCCCAGGCCTTCCACCCCATCCCTTGAGGACTCTTTCACATTTTATACCTACATGAAATACTATTCTTAACCAAAACTCATTTTTTAAATGTTATTAAGTAACTTATTGTGAAATAATTTCAGACTTCCAGGAAAGTCATCAGGACAGTATAAGCAGCTTAATCCCTTTACCCTCGTCATCAGCACGTTGCCCCATCTGCACTCCCCTTCTCGCCCCATGTTGCACATGCTCATGCACACACTGTCATTAACCTCTTTCGAATCCTTTTAACAACCTCATAATTTTAAAGACTTTTAGCAACCCCTGAAGCTTTACAATGCATAAAGCCCTTTCTCCTTCACAGTCTCCTCTGGTGCTTGTAACAGCATGGGAGTTGCTGGAAGGACAGGTAAATAAATGTGTTACCATTTTTCAGACATGGAAACTTCGACTTGTCAAGGGTCATGGCTCCCTTCCTCAAGAACCCTGCTGTAGACATTCTCCCAATGTAGTAAGGACATAGACAAGTGGAAGTGAAAAGCTGGGTCAGGGTCCAGAGTGTTCAAGCAGATACAGGAGTGCCCTTTCCTGCCCTGCAGTTATTTCTAGGCCTTCTGGAAAAGCTCATCCCAAAGCCTCATTAACACCTGCTTCCTATTCATATATCAATTCCGGCAAAATTTCCCAGAGTAGCCTCCCTGGCCCCTGGGCCACGTCAAATGCCTTTTGCATACAAATGTCTTATAGCATACAAGAACATATACTGTATGTTTTTGTATGAACATCTTCCCTTTCTTTGTAGCATCCACCTGAGTTTCTCATTAAATATATTCACTTAAATAGTATCTAGACTCTAGGCAAGGGAGACAGACTACCAGGAGTGGTGGTGACTGGGGCAAACTGGGATTGCCTACCCCACCTAAAGCACTCAGCTTCAGCCATCACTGCAGTGCAGTGTTGCAGGCTCAGCTTTGCCAGACCTCCTGGTTTTCAAGGAAAAGAGAAATCTAAACTTTGAGGTGAAATCTCCTGCTTTTTGAATGTTGGCATTTAATTAATTTTTAGACATATGTAGGGCAATCAAAATTAGCCTGGGGACAGGATTTATCCCACCGTCTACCAGTTCGCCACATCTAGTTTTAGTTTTGACTTTAAGTTTCTTGCAGGAAGGGACCAAGCCTGCTTTTGTTATCATTATATTCTCAGAGCTTAGGTGTAAGCCTAGCAGAGAGCCTGGGACAGGAAAGGCATCTGTTTGTAAAATGGATGGGTGGACAGAGGGGAGGGGAGGCAGATGGATGAGTGAATATTCTCACTGTCTTCAGAGCACAAGTATTTCAGAACAGCCTACCTGAGAACTGCTCGTGGTCCCGCTGGCCACCTAGACCACCACTGTCCTTTTGTGCTCTCTGCAGCGAATCCATGCCTAGGACAGGTAGTCCGAGAGGTGATCCGCCGCCAGAAAGGTTATGCATCATGCGCAACAGCCTCCAAGGTGCCCATCATGGAATGTCACGGGGGCTGCGGGCCCCAGTGCTGCCAGCCCACCCGCAGCAAGCGTCGGAAATACGTCTTCCAGTGCACGGACGGCTCCTCATTCGTGGAAGAGGTGGAGAGACACTTAGAGTGCGGCTGCCTCGTGTGTTCCTAAGCCCTGCCACCTCTCAGACTCCAGCTTGGTGAGGCTGGAACAGCCATGTGGGACCCCTGGAGATTCAGCGTGAAGGAGACAAAGCTGGAGAGGAAGCTAAAGAAGAAGAGAATATTAAGTATATTGTAAAATAAACAAAAAATAGAACTTATTTTTATTATGGAAAGTGACTATTTTCATCTTTTATTATATAAATATATCACGTCATCTGAGTATATGTACCATATAGTGAGTTATTTTTGCCAAGTTTTGTGTTGTGTATTTGTTGTGTTTTTATAAACAGCTGTTTAAAAGTTTAAGAAAAAAAAAGACTAATAAAAATGCTTTAAAACAAAAGGATAAGAATAAAGAAAGATAGCCTGTCTGAGGAAGGAGGAAGATGTTTCATGTTTATGAAACGTGTCGGCAGTAAACCAAGACCTGCTCACTGAGATCAGAAAAAGGAATACGAGGAAGAGAGAGAAGGAAAGGATCTTTGTTTTTTAACTCCCTTTTCTCCCCCTCCCCTAAAAGTACCCAGCTTTTCAGAGTCCTGGATGTCAGTGCCCAAGATACCCAGTTCTTCCAGGAAAAGCTGCTAAGCCCTGGCCTTCTCAGTCTCACTGCAAATTTGCTGTCCCTGTCTGTCCCAGACTCCCCTGCAGGATCTGAACCCACTGGGGGACCCCGCTTCTCCTTCCTGGCTTACCTTGGCTTCCAATCAAGGACTGACTATTGAACTCCACTGCAGCTTTTATTTGGGACTGTTACCAAATTTTTAAACAGCTGCTATTTTTCCTGCTCCTCCCCAGGAGAGGGGTCTTCCTAGAGGAGGCGAGGGAAGAGAGTATCATGCCGTGTCCTCAGGCCCCACATACTGGCCCCCTCCTCCTTCCAGGTAATTTTTAATTGGAATGTATCCCAGGAGAGAAGGTAGTCAGCCCTTCTGGGATGCAGAAGGCTGGGAGCCAAGCCTGCCCACAGCACTAGTAGATGTCCAATTCTGGAAGGTTCTTGGAGGCTCTTGCTGTAAGACGCCTCTGCCACCTGATCCTCCAGGTCACCATCATGATGACAGAGACCTTGCCCATCTGCAACACTTTCCAATGCATATCCAAACTGTACCTTAATTTATCTGTGCAACCCCTGACTCCCTGGGAAGGATAAGGGAGTAGAGCCCCGTTCACTAAGAAGGAAGTTTAGGCCCTCACAGGCTCTGGAACTTGCCTGAAGCCACACACCAGATAAGTGGAGGAGCTGGATCGGAAGTCCAGACCCAAAGCTTGAGATTCTTTCTCCAGAGTGGGTGAGCACAGGTGATTCAGGTGGCTCAAATTCATCAGAGCAGCCCTGCCAGAAAAGGAAAGATGTTTTTCCTGTTCTTGTTCTGCCTTGCTCATTCTCATTCCTCTTCCTCCCTCCTCAGTATCTGGAAAGATTCTGGAGGGCAGGGATTATGTATCTATGGGCTGCAAGGGCAGCCCCTCTAGCCTCTGCCTCCATTACTGAAGGGGACTTCCCTGCCCGTTTCTTTCCATGTCTGTCCCTCCCTCACTTCCCATTTGCCCCCTTCTATCCCATCAGGTTAGCCACCTATCTTCCAGGGCTCAGCTGTTCACACCAACTCCCTGGCTCTCATCATCCATCCCTCCTTTCCCCAGGAGCCTCTACTATAGAAGTTTCATGGAGAAGAGTTTGGAAGTCATTGGACCTTTCAGCTCTCAGGGTCCCTAGAGGAGCCTAGTGGCTCTGTGAGGACCAATGGTGGGCCAGAGACTCAGGGAGTAAAGAAGGGAGAAAGAAAAGAAAGGAAGATAGGTGTAAGGAAGGAAGGAAGCAAGCAAGTTAGGGAGGGTGGGAAGAGGGGGAGGGGGGCTAAAGAGAAGGGAGAGAGGGAGATAGTAGTAGAATTTATCTAAAAATATGTATGTAAATCTCCATTATGTTCCAGGTACTGTGCCTTATGATGGCTTTGTTTTTTGTTGTCATTTGAGACAGGGTCTTGCTCTGTCACCCAGGCTGAAGGAGAGTGGTTCAATCATAGCTCACTACAGTCTCAACCTCCTGGGCTCAAGAAATCTTCCTGCCTCAGTCTCCCAAAATGCTGGGATTACAGGTGTGAGCCTCTATGCTCAGCCTATTTCAAATATTATATCAGATTTATTTAGTACTATATCAAATACCACTCTCATTGTGATATATATATATATATATATATTCATTTAATTCTTGAAACAATCATGTAGTTAAAATACTATTAATTCATTTTATGGTTGAGTAGACTAAGACACAGCGAACTTGTGTCTTAAAAGAACTTGCCCAAGAGTGGATATCTAATAAACTGCGGTGCCAAGATCTGAGCCCAGGCTATCTGACTCCAGACCTTGCTCACCCAGCCACTAAACCATCCTGCTTCTTGTGGGAAACAGATATGTCTTGCCTTTGAGGATCCTACAGCCTATGACAAAAACAGTCATACAAATGTATAATTGCCTTAGTACAAAAGGACCTCTCGAATGGCAATATAAAGCAATGGAAATGGCTGTCCAGAAGAGGGAATTTCCAATCATGGGTCTTCAAGGCTGAACAGGAGTTTGCCAGAGCTAGGAAAGGGAATTGAACTTTCCTGGGAATGGCCTATTAAAAAGCAATGAGGAAACGGCAAGGCCTGGCTTGTTTGGGGAAGAGTCAATGTCTAGGATGCACGAGCATGGGAAGCACACTGAGGAGCAGAGAGAAATGGGGTAGGTGTGAAGGCAGGGTTTTGACCACAAAGAGCTATGCATACTAAACTAGGCCAAGGTGCCAGCAAGATTGTTCGAGGAAGGGAAGAGCAAGACAAGCTCTGCTTTAGGAAGAGCATAAAGACCTGAAAAAGGAGACAGAGCTGTCACCTAAAATGGATTTGAGAGCTCCCTGTGGTTTACTCTGTGCCAGCCACATGGATCACAAATGGTATGACAGCATAGAAGCTCTGCCCTTGAAGAGGGTCCTGGGATCTGCCCAACACCCTTTCCAACCTCCCTCACCCCATCACTCCTCTCCCCCCAGGCAGATGGATCTGAGCTTTATCCCACCACCAATGTCCCTTTTAGCCTCTCCCCACCCAGCCGGGAGCCTACTCAGCCTGCCATCTCAAGAGCCCCAACAGGGTCACTGGCTTCCTGGGAGGACTCAACAAGCTGCCAGGTTTCCCTCTGCCTACCCAAGGAACCCAAGACCGCCCTCTGCCCATCACCCCGGGCCCAATCCTGAATCCGGCCCCCATCAACAAAGACAGCAAAAGGGCCAGTCCTGTCCCTCACAATTTTGAGCCTTCTCCCTCAAGTTTGGAACTGCCAAATGCAAGGACCATTATAAAAATTCTCCCAAACATGAAGTTCCTCTGACAAATGACAATTGAAACTCTCTTTCTCCTTGAGCAGTCACATTCTAGAAACAGGACATTCCATGGGGTAGGAAGAGTTCAGTTTGTTAATTCTCTCCTGAAAAGGTGTGTTTCCATGTTTGTGTGGGGGTGTACGTGGGCAGAAGAGGCCACTCAAGCTGTGTTCCCCCTGAGCAGGATTCAGGAAAGGGAAAAGAGGGTCTCTTTGACTCAACCAAGGGGTCGTACGATGGCCAATGAAACTATGTATTTAAAAGCTCTTTGTAAAGTGTAAACTAAAAACCTTAAATGTAAGATGCTGTTGTCATTATTACTGCTGTTGTTGCTATTATAGACATGCCAAAAGGCCCTTGTTAGCAAGATGACTTTGCCTTTTCAGTCTCATAGCAAGGAACTAAAGTCTGATGCTTCAAAAAGCTGATAAGAGGGGCAAGAAAAGGGAGAACTCCCAAGCACTGAGAAAAAAAGCCCCAGGGTAATCTTCAGGAAAGGCCAGGACCAGGATTGATCTAACCTGGCCCTTCACCAGAGACAAAGCTGTGGCCAGACTGAACCCTAAGATCAAGCAGTTGCCCACTGCCTTTGCTGAGAGCAGAAGCCCATAGCAGCAAATGACCTGCCCCTCTCAGACTCGGGATACCAGATATCAGAGATGGAGGAGCCATAGGGCATTACTGGTAGGCAGGAAAACTGAGGGTTGAACACGTGGAAGAATGCAGTGATCACAGACCAAAGACACACAGGTAATTAACACCAGGTGTCTACCCAGGCCAAAGTTCTTCCTGCTACCCCAGAGTGGGTGCCCAGGCAGAGTGAAGCCTGGGTTAGACTCTCTAACACTTTCTTAATGGTCCAGAAGGTGTCCTCTGCCTCCCCCACAGCAGTCTCCTGGTGCAACCTCAGATGATGGGGAAGCTGGGGGCATAGTGTGGTTTGGTGGGATTTGTTCCCATTTTGTGGTGTGGGCTCAACAGTGCCAAAGGAAACACCAGGGAAAAGTTGGTGAGACATGCCAGCCAACAGGAATAGTAAAGGCATAATCGGGCGTTTGGCAAAGCTTGTTTTTCTAACTCAACGATAGATGAGTTAGAAATTTTTAAAGATGTTTTTTAAAACAATGTTATCGTGCCACTTCCCCAGTATGGAATAAGTAACATGCATTCCTTTTCAACGTACTGTCATATTTGGATGTCTTTAAAATAAATGGATGAGTCACAGAGGAACTATCAGATGCTCTTGTGACTACCGTAACTCAGCCCTGCTCCATGGTGTCTGCTTTATTTTTACCCCTGATTTTCAAACTCCCTAAAACAAAGATTACTTCATTCATGGGGTCTGGGGAGAGTCTGGTGTACAATTAGATGAAAGAATCAGTTTCTTGGATCATGAAGTGAGAAAAAATGGATCCAGAGTTCCCCAGAGCCATGGAAGAGAAGACTCAACACACAGCTTAGGGTCTGCAGAGGGTGTGGTCCGTATGGCCACAGACTGGGTGCCAAGGATCATGGGCGAAGAAGCCACTCCAGTTCAGAGGAAGAGAACACTCTATTGGTATGTGAAGGAAGATTCCTCCTTATAGGACTCCAATGCCTAACTAAATTTCTCCTTTATTGGTTCTTTCAACAAGTATTTATTGAGCATCTACTATGTGCCAGGTACTGTTCTAGGCATTGAGGACTCCAAAGATGATCAACACCAAGTCCTTGTTCTTCTGTAATTTAAACTTTAACTGAGGGGTTGTGTGTCAATCAACAAGTAAAGATAACACCAGATAATGATAAGTTTACTTCTACTAATAAAGGAGACATTCCAGAATAGCTGGGTGGGTGCTTCATACAGTGAGGTCAAGAAAGCTTCCCTAAAGAATTGCAACATGGGGTGGGGCAAATACTAAGAAATAGAAGGAGGAGGAATGGTGGCCCTGCAGCACTCACTAGATATCTGCCCAGTGTGGTTGTCATCCGAGGGAGGCGGGCAGCCTAAGCAACTTAGGAGGCCAGAGAGGATGGCCTAGGCAAGACAGCATGAGAGAGGCTAGAGAGGGGAGGGGCAAGCAGGCCCCTCAGTCTCTCAGCCCTGGGGCATCCTCAAGGGGCTCTGCACTTTTAGAAGGAGGATTGCTAAGGATCTGGAGGCTGCCACTGGCTAGCAACTCACCCTCACTTCCCTGGCAGATGGCTTTCCATCTGCCCTGTGGAGACTCCACTGAGAGAAAGACACTGGTAGGCAACAGATGCATCAGGTGCTAGAAAAGGGGCCAGACTCTGTGGCCCCCAGTCCATTGCTCCTTCTTCCCCCAGGTCTCCCTGAGCAAGACAAGGTTACACTGACTGGGGACACTGAGCCTCCAGCAAACATGCCTTTGACATAATTTCATGCATTTTACTGCACATTTATCTGAAATGGGCAGAGAGTAGATTCTGCGCTGACACATACTGTGTCAGACAGCCTGGGTGTTCCTGCTAGGAGGAGTTATTGCCAGGAAACCTAGTGTCCATCCCTCATGTTTACACCAGGAGCCCCTCCTCTCAGGTTTGAGACCTAGATGTATATCCCTCTATCTCAAATTCCCTGTTTTATCAATCTATAGCAGAGGTTCTCAACTGGGAGTGGTGTTACCCCCCACCCAGGAGACATTTGGCAATGTCTGCAGATATTTTTGGTGGTATAACTGGGGCACAGGGTGCTATTAGCGTCTAATGGTAGAGACCAGAGATATTGCTAAACATCCTACAATATACAGGATAACTCCTTGACAACAAAGGATTATCCTGCCCAAGATGTCCACAGTGCTAAGATTGAGAAACCCTGGCTTAGCCAAATCAGACCCTTTCTTGAATACCTGGATGGAATTACTCACAAGGAAGGAGCAGGTTGGTATGCTAAATATGCAACGAATAGTGACCTTTTTAGGGTGCCTGGGTTGGAATGCTGTTGATCTGTTATTATACTTAGAATATCATTGTTTTCTGTTGTTATTGGTTTTTTTTTTTTTTTTTTTTTTTTTTTATATGGGGTTTCACTCTTGTTGCCCAGGTTGAAGTGCAATGGTGAGATCTCGGCTCACTGTAACCTCTCCCTCCAGGGTTCAAGCAATTCTCCTGCCTCAGCTTCCCAAATAGCTGGGATTACAGGTACCTGCTACCCTGCCCAGCTAATTTTTGTGTTTTTAGTAGAGACAGGGTTTCACCATGTTGGCCAGGCTGGTCTCGAACTCCCAACCTCAGGTGATCTGCCTGCCTGTCTCCCAAAGTGCTGGGATTACAAACACCAGCCACCGCACCTAGCCAGAACACCACTGTTGATGGGAAACTAAGACCAAGACACTTCTGGCAATGGGGGACCACAGTGATCCTTTCTGCCCTTCTTTGCCCTTACCACTCAGTCACTGAAAATAGGTACAGAACAGTGGATTCTGGATTTAACATGCTCAGGTGACATAAAGTATGGCAGAGAAAATGACACTCACCTTTGGACCTGCTACTGTCAGAGAAATAGAGAATAGGATAAATAAAAATGCTATGCTTCTGTTTCCTGAACTCTAACCTTCATTGCAGTCCTGGCAGGAGGCAAAGATCATCAGACTCTCAAATCAAAACACTTATGTGATTTCTTTATGATAGTTCAAAGGGGAGTGAAGAGATCATGGTTCAAATGACACAAGCAGCTCAACTTCAAGATGCAGCCAGGGATGCTAAATCGACTCTAGTAACTGACAGCAGTATTAATTGGTTGGGAGAGGAACCTAGCCTACTCAGAGTAACCTGGTAAGGTGCTGCAGGCACAGGAGGCACTCTTATTTACACTGTAAATATCCTTATTTACCAGACTCTACAGGGGGATGGGAGATGAGCAAAGTGCTAGGATTACAAGCATTAGCCACAGCCCCGCCCCCGGCCTGAAACTTCCTTCATTGGGCTCAGAATGCTAATTTCACATGCAATGAAAAATTAAATTTAGGCCAGGCACAGTGGCTCATGCCTGAAATCCCAGCACTTTGGGAGGCTGAGGCAGGAGAATGGGGCTTGAAAGCAGGGTTGAGGGAGGTTCTAAGGGAACAGGCCTCATGTCCTCCAGCTCCACTTGCCCACTGTGTAGGGGGTGGGTGGTTTACCCCATTTCCCCCCGAATCCTGCTGCTTGACTCTGGCCATGTCAATATCCACTTCAGTTTCTCCATCTAGGAAACAAGAATGGCAAGACTGACATCATCAAGGCTCTGTAGATTACAAGAGACTCAAAGCAATCCAAACCAACTTAAGGCAAAAAAGGAACATGTTGAGATGAGTAACTGGTAGACCTAGAGTAGTTCCTACTGCATCAGGCATGGGTGTTTGGATGCTAAAGCTCATACACTGTCATAAGGATTCAGGGTGTCTGGTGCATACTTGGCTTTGTTTTGCCTTGGCTTCCGTCTCAGGAAGCCTCTCCTATGCAAACAGCAAACTGACTCCCAACAGCTGCAGACTGAAAGTGGTAGATACTACTCATTTCAAGCCCAGAGGAAAGAGAGCTTCTCATCTCCAATGCTTCTAAGAGATAACCCAGAATTGAGTCTCACTGGTTTTGATTAGCCTGGCTTGGGGCAAATGTCCAGCCCTGGATGAAGCAGCAGGGTCACTAAACTCTAGCAGCCATGGGCTATGAAAAATTTAAAAATAAACAGCGCTAATTGAATAAGCCTGTGTCACATGAGAAACACATAATCGGGGATGAGAGAGAGTTTCCCCAAGGAAATGAGAGAACAGAGCCTAGACCAGCAAAAATAAGACAGTAACTACTCACCATAGGTAGTTTTTTTAAGAAGATATGAAGGCCGGGCAAGGTGGCTCAAGCCTGTAATCCCAGCACTTTGGGAGGCTGAGGCGGGTGGATCACGAGGTCAAGAGATCGAGACCATCCTGGTCAATGTGGTGAAACTCCATCTCTACTAAAATACAAAAAAAATTTAGCTGGGCATGGTGGCGCATGCCTGTAATCCCAGCTACTCAGGAGGCTGAGGCAGGAGAATTGCCTGAACCCAGGAGGTGGAAGTTGTGGTGAGCCGAGATGGCGCCATTGCACTCCAGTCTGGGTAACAACAGTGAAACTCCGTCTCAAAAAAGAAAATATGAAATGATACTGACACGATGCAATAAGGCTGGTATATCTGCTTTGTGGATTCCAGTACACCAAACAAATATAAGTGATAGAGATGTTAACAACTGGAAAATTTAAAAAAAAACACTGTTTTTTACTAACATTCTTGAAAGTCTATGAAACTTACTTTTTTTTTCTTCTGAGACAGGATCTCACTCTGTTGCCCAGGCTGGAATACAATAGCATGATCTCAGCTCACTGCAACCTCCACTTCCCCAGCTCAATCAATACTCCCACCTCAGCCTCCAGAGTGGCTGGGACTACAGACATGTACTACCATACCCAGCTAATTTTTTTGTATTTTTTGTAGAGACAGGGTTTTGCCATATTGCTCAGGCTGGTCTCAAACTCCTGGGCTCAAGTGATCCACCACCTCAGCCTCCCAAAGTGCTGGAATTACAAGCATTAGCCACTGTACCTGTCCTGAAACTGTCTTCATTGGACCTAAAATGCTTTTTTCATTTGAAGTTAAAAATTTAGGCCATGCATGGTGGCTCATACCTAAAATCCCAGTATCTTGAAAGGCCAAGATAGAAAAATTGCATGAACCCAGGAGTTCAAGACCAGCCTGGGCAATATGGTGAGACCCTGTCTTTACAAAACAATTAAAAATTATCTGGGCATGGTGATGCCCACCTGTAGTCCCAGCTATTCGGGAGGATCACATTAGCCCAGGAGTTCAAGGCTACAGTAAGCCATGATCACATCACTGCACTCCAGCCTCTGCCACAGAAACCCTGTGTCAAGAAAAGAAAACAAATTTTTAAATCCAGCCTAAAATATGCCTGTTCTCCTAAATTGGGGGAGGGAGAAAAAAAGGAGAATAGCTGCTAAACTCTACATTGAGTTCTAGAATAAAATATAATTAGCTGAAGAGGGATTCATTCACCTTTGAAGTTATCTTAGTGACCCCTCTCCAGCGACCTTGTTTTGAAAATGATTTCATCTTCCATATCCTTTTGATAGTGGTTGGTAAGATGTAAGAGCAGCGATTAGAGAAGTGGAAGATTGCCTGGTTACAGGTGAGAAGGTGAATTCACAGAGTGAGATGAAAAATCTGACATTCATCGAGCACACACTCTTGATCACACATTTATACACATCCCTTTGTGTAAGACCAAAGCAGAGCTGCCAGCAGGTTCAGTTGTCCCCATTGAAGCAGTGAGAAAGACCTGAATCACAGAGCTAGGGGACGGCAGAGAGGTGATTTGAACCAGATTGGACTAAGCCCAATGCTATGTCCTTTCCCCTACAACACCATAATTTGCACATAACAAGCCCTTGATGAATGCCTGTTGTTGGACTCTTTCCCACATACAGGAAATTTGTGCAAGATACTGGAACTCATGGGATTAAGGAAAGCTGACGAGCTAATTAATTGGAAGACTGAAACCAGACCTTGTGTAAGTGTTGGAATGAAGCCAATGCAACTATTGGGAGAAATAATAGGAACGGCTCTCTTTTCCAGAGTGACTGGGGTGTGCCAGAGTTTTTGCACGTTTATCCCCATTCCTCACAAAAATTCTGCAAGGTAGGGGTTGTTATCGCAATAGTATAGGTGAAGAACCTGAATCTTAGAGAAAAGGGGCGTTGCCTGGGGTTCCACAGCTGGCAAACTGCAGAGTTGTGTGGGTCAGCTGAGCGCATGCTGTTAGACTCAGCAGAGAGAGAATGATCTCTATTCTACATTTTCCATGGGTGGAAGAAAGGCTGCCAGACACGCATCTGAAGAATAGAGGAGGTTGTGAGTCTGGGGGGCCCAGATCAGCGATGTGAGTCTCATAGGTAGGCCTCAGCCCATGAGAAGCATCGTCCACATATATCTTTGTGGACAATTAGGACTTTTCAGCTGATAGGAACCACTGCAATGTAACCAATATCCTCTACTTCCTCCTGCACTCGAGAAGCAGCAAATGGATTGGAGTCCTGGGGCTGCGTCACTAGATATGTCACTCTTCAAGCATCTGCAAAAAAAGCAGGGGGGTGGGGGGTGGGGGGTGGGGGGTGGGGACGGGGGAGGGCAGGTGGCTTGATAAAATGTACTTGTGTCCCAGAAAAGTTGCTGGCAATAACTTTTTATAAGGAATAAATTGTTATGGCCAGGCATGGGGGCTCATGTTTGTAATCCCAGCACTTTCGGAGGCCAAGGCAGGTGGATCACCTGAGATCAGGAGTTCAAGACCAGCCCGGCCAACATGGTGAAACCCTGTCTCTACTAAAAATACAAAATTAGCTGGATGTGGTGGCACATGCCTGTAATCCCAACTACTTGGGAAGCTGAGGCAGGAGAATTGCTTGAACCCAGGAGGTGGAGGTTGCAATGAGCCAAGATCATGCCACTTCATGCCAGCCTGCACAGCAAGAGCAAAACTCCACCTCAAAAAAAATAAACAAATATTATAAGGGATAAATGTATGTAAATGTATTTTGTAAAAGCTCTAAGTGCTATAGAGGTATGAATTAATCCTAGAAACAGTATCTAATCTGTATTCCATTCTCAGGGCTATGTAATGAAACAGAAGGAGTTAATTAAGTTTACAAGTCATGGACAGACTTTATGTTGTCTTCATTTCCTTATCATTGGGAGTATTCCGAGCTCAGAATTTTCCCAGTGCAAAAAAAAGGCTCTGAAGAGCCGGACCTGGGAACCTGGCCAGTTCCCTGATCCAATTTTTGGTAAACACCTCAAGGATGTTAGTTACATGATAAAGACATGGACAGTGTCCTGACTTGACCCTTCTTTGTTTTAAAAAGTATAAAAGATTGTTTAGCAGAAGCCGAACTGAGCTTCGATGGTGATTTGGTTTGGACTTGCGAAAACCCGTGCTGCTTTACTGCCGGTGTTGAAGTTTGTGAGCGTCTCTAGGTATCCTTGTAAATAAACTCTTTTTCTTTCTTTGTAAATAAACTCTTTTTCTCTATATACCTCAGCTGGTGTTTTTCTACCCACGAATCTGCCTGAAAAGATTAGAAAATCCAAGCTTGGTACTGAGCAGTGCTCACACAAAATTGGCGTAGTCGGCAGGATTCGGGGAGGAGTGCATCATGCCTTTCTTTTAAAAAAATGTTAAAACTGTTGTTAGTGAAATTCCTGGTTGGGAAGATCCTGTGTTTGTTTCTGTTGCTCGTAATTGGGCCTCTGGCACTGGCCTAAGTGAAAATTGGGACGACTGCCTTAGGACAGCTGATCCTGCACAGGTATGTGAAGTTTTGGACCTGGTGCCAGTAGATAAAGGAAAGGAGTTAGCTGCCATTAGTAGACGAGGCTGGATTTTGTTGTCTGCTTATAGGAAACAATACTTAGCTCGCCAAGCCCTTATACAGGAAAAATTGCAGTTAGAAAAAGAATTGGCTGATTTACAAGGCAAATTGTCTATGTTACAATGTCAGAATTTTATCCTTGGTGACCAGGCAAGAATATATCAGGGAGTAGCCGAAAAGGCTGCTGTACGGTGTGCACAGTATAAATATAGAAAACGAAAGGGGAAAGTGAATGCAAAGAAGGTGCATGCTGTCATTGCAACTGCTAAAGCTGATTGGGACCCTGATACTTGGGATGGTGACATTTAGGATGATACTAATGAGGAACCTGATTGGGATGAGCTAGATAAAGAGGCTAGGAAGTATCATCCCCCTCCCTCTACCAAAAAGGAGGCACAAAAATATATTGGCTTATTTGGATACTGGAGACATCATATACCCCATTTGGGAATGCTAGTACAACCTCTTTTTAAAGTAACTAGGAAAAAATACCAATTTGAATGGACTCAAGATCAACAGGACGCTTTTGAGAGAACTAAAGAGGCAATCCAGCAAGCCTTAGATTTATGGCCCCTACAGCCAGGACCTGTTGAATTAATGACTAGTGTAGAAAGTGAAGATGCTAATTGGAGTCTTTGGCAAAAGCAGAATGGTAAACGAGTTCCATTAGGATTTTGGTCTCGAAAATTGCCCCAATGTAATAACCCATATACCCAGTTAGAACAACAATTATTAACTGCTTACTGGGCCTTATCTGAAACAGAACATTTAACCACCAATAAAGAAGTAATCTTACGCCCTCAAATTCCAATAATGCATTGGGTACTTTCTAACTCGGTATCACATAAGATTGGACATGCCCAAAAATCCCATGTCATTAAATGGAAATGGTATATACAAAATCGTGCTAAACCAGGCCCCACTGGAGTTTTGCAGCTACATGAAAAGGTTTTTTTCTTGCCCAACTGATGAAGGTAATCATGATCAACTCGTTAAACATATTGACAGTAAAGTTTGGGCTAATAAAGGATATGACTCTTTAAGTAAAGAACAACAGAAGCACGCATGGTTTACAGATGGCTCTGCTAAGTACATAGGGGGAAAGCGGCACTGGAAAGCTATAGCGTATAATCCCGCTCTGGATTGTACACTAGAAGCTAGTGGAGCAAACGGCAGCAGCCAACTCGCCAAATTACACGCAGTCTGGCTGTGCCTGGAAAAGGAATATGGGGGAGAATGTCATGTGTTCACAGATTCCTGGTCTGTGTAGATGGGATTATTAACTTGGATTGCACAATGGCAGCATGATAATTGGAAGATTCGTGACCATGATTTATGGGGAAAGGACTTATGGCAAAATATATGGATTGTATTGCAAAGTACTAATGTTTCTGTTTTCCACGTAGACGCTCACGTGCCTACTGACTCTATTGAATGTATTTACAATAAGAAGACTGACCAATTAACTAAAATTAGCTCTAATACTTACCCTGAAGATCATCCCAAGTGCGCAAAATGGGTGCATGAACACACTGGACACGCAGGAGCCAAAGCTATGTACAGGTGGGCACAACAGAGAGGCATATACCTGCCATTAGATGTATGAAAAACCATCACAACACAGTGTCCAGTTTGTAACCAAGAACGATTGCAAAATGTCCCCCGTATCGTCACAGGAGAATTAGCTCGAGGAAAACAAGCGGCACAAATTTGGCAAATAGATTACATAGGGCCGCTCCCCATTTCTAAAGGGTGCACTTACATATGCACTATTGTAGATACTTATTCTGGTGTGCTTATTGGATGTCCCTATAAACGGGCCACCCAACAAAATACTCTGAAAACCTTAGATTATATTATTTTATATTATAGAGTGCCATTACAAATACAAAGTGACAACGGATCTCATTTTAAAAGTAAGTTAATTACTGATTACTGTGCTCAATATAATATAGAATGGATTTATCATATACCCTATTACCCACAAGCAGTAGGCCTCATTGAAAGGATGAATGGGTAATTAAAGGAAAAACTACGGAAATTAACCAATCCAATGTATTCAGGATGGAAAACCTTTTTATTACCAGCCTTACAACAACTTAATAATAGACCCCTAACTAGTGGCCAAACCCCGTTGCAACGGATGATATATTCCTCTAATACAGTTGAGATCAGATCCCAAGTAACACATGAGCCTGTAACTATCTCCTGGTGGAGATTCCACCCAGATGCAATACAACCTTGGAATGCTACTAGTTCTGCTGCAGGTTGATTTATTTAACTACTCTGTAACTAAATTAAATAGCAAAACTCAACATGTAATACCCACTGGAATAGGTTTTCAGTTGCCTTCAGGATATTATGGACAAATAGCTGCTCGATCTAGTCTTGCACAAAAAGGAATGACAATCTTAGGGGGAATAATTGATGCAGATTATTACGGTGAAATCAAAGTGCTTCGTTATAACCTTGGTGAAGAAGATATCATCTTGCCTAAAGGCCACCGAATGGCACAACTATTAATAATTCCAGTTTTACAAAACACAGTATGGGAATCACAAAGGTTCCCTCCAAAATCAGCTCATTTAGGATTTGGCAGTACTGATGAAAAGAAACAAATATCAGGTCATGTTTGGGTACAAACATCTCCCCATAAACCATTACAAGCTGGAGAGATAGTAGCACAAGGAAGAAATAACTGTGTATATGTCCTAATTCCCCCTGCTGATACTCCTATATTAGTACCTACTAATCATTTGTTTCATCGTGTATAGATTTGTGTATTTACAGGTATTATTGTTAGCACTCACTTCTGGATTGCTTGGACCATTTCCCCCGGACAAATCTTGTCTCACCAAACTACTTCCAGCAATGGACACATGATTCTACAGTTGGGATGGGTCAACTCCACAAAAGTAAGAAGTCAAGACTCTTACAACTGTTCTGCTAATCAAGTCTGTCACCATACCAATCTTACTATTAGTGGAGATACCAACACTACACTTACCTATTGGATGGGACAGAAACCTGCTCAAGGCATAATTTATAGTGATGATAGTATTACTATTAATGTCACTTCTAAAGTGAATATTTCCTGTTGTCAACAGATTTAACTACTATGCTATGTCCCTATCACGTGCTGCCAATTCCATATCCTTATTATTATTTGCAACCAGAATTTTATGGTACCCACATTGACAATAGAAATATAACATATAAAATCAATGATTGTGCTGTAACTACAAAAGGATTAGTATGTACTGATTTACAACAACAGATGGAGCCATATCTATTGCATTTTTCTGTTAATCATTGTATTTTTACCTTATTACCAGTAAGTGATTACACTGCCCTTTTTGAAGTCCAGCCCCATACATTATATATTGTATCCAATCAATCTGAAGTATTGTCATATATGCAAGTTGATTTTCCATTTGTTGGATGTATTTATAATATCTCTATTTTTCTCTGGCATAATTCTACTATTTATTTAACCCCAATCATTGACTATGAAAATATCACTTTCACCCCAATAAGCCTGCCCCAACCAAAGTTGGAAACCTATTTAAATCTAACTACTATATTATATAAAAATAAAGCTTTAAATCAGACATTACAGAAAAGAGATTGACAATTAAGTGAATATAGACTACAAACCACCATAGTAAGTCATAAACTGCAGGACTATTCCCATGCTATAGCGACAGATAGTAATCATAACTGGTGGGATTGGTTATTCACACACTCATCAGTGACATATAGATTCATCCCACTATTCATGATTGTATTCATTTTAATAGTTATTAGTATATGTAGTTGTTGCTGTTCTTTGTACTTATATCAACGCATTAAGAATTTATATGATGCATTTACTTACAACTATTATGTGTATAATAAGTCTGCCCATGCCTAGGGCCGAATTGTAATGGAACAGAAGGAGTTAATTAAGTTTACAAGTCATGGACAGACTTTATGTTGTCTTCATTTCCTTATCATTGGGAGTATTCCGAGCTCAGAATTTTCCCAATGCAAAAAAAAAAAAGGCTCTGAAGAGCCGGACCTGGGAACCTGGCCAGTTCCCTGATCCAATTTTTGGTAAACACCTCAAGGATGTTAGTTACATGATGAAGACGTGGACAGTGTCCTGACTTGACCCTTCTTTGTTTTAAAAAGTATAAAAGATTGTTTAGCAGAAGCCGAACTGAGCTTCGATGGTGATTTGGTTTGGACTTGCGAAAACCCGTGATGCTTTACTGCCGGTGTTGAAGTTTGTGAGCGTCTCTAGGTATCCTTGTAAATAAACTCTTTTTCTCTATATACCTCAGCTGGTGTTTTTCTTCCCACGAATCTGCCTGAAAAGATTAGAAAATCCAAGCTTGGTACTGAGCAGTGCTCACACAGGCTACCATAACAAAGTACCACAAACTGGCATGAAACAACAGAAAAATATTATCTCACAGTTCAGGAGGGTAAAGGTCCAAAAATGAAGGTGCCAGCTGGGTTGGTTCCCTGTGGAGGCTGAGAGAGTGAAACCGTTCATGCCTCCCTCCTGCCTTCTCTTCCGATGGCTGCTGGCCATGCTTGGCATCCTTGGCTTGTGGATGCATTGCTGTCGTCTCTGCCTATCTTGCCTTCACATGTCCTTTTTTGTCTAAGGATATTTCCACCAGATTCAGGATCCAGCCTAATCTAGCACAGTCTCATCTCATATTCCTTTATCTTAATTACATTTGCAAAGACCTTATTTCCAAATAAGCTCACATTCTAAGATTGTAAGTGGACAGGAGACTGGGAGAGCCACTATGCAACCCACTACAGAACCTAATGTCTTCATTTGAGGAAGCTGAGGCCTTGAAAATTTAAGTGACTTGCCCAAGGTCATACAGTTTTATACAATTTAATGTGCATAGACGATATTTGAGGAGAGTCAAGTGCATGGTATGATTTTCAGAAACCATATACCAGCGGACACACCTTCCTAGATCAAAATAAATAGGACCATCCTACATGAACAAAGTCCAGAGGGAGCCCGCCCAAAATATGTTCAATAACTCCAACCCATATTTCTCCCTCCTTGGGAACAGAAAAGGGTAGGTTTTTAGTACCACAGAAAAATTATCAAAGCCAGAAAAAAAAATCAGAGAGCCAGCAGTGTGTTGCCAGCCATCTCTTTAGCCAAACACGCAGTTTGAGAGAAGCCTCCACCTCCAATTTCCCCCTCCCCCCGCAATTTCCTCCACTTACAGTTCCAAAATCCTGCCATGATATCAGAGAAGCAACAACCTGGTCCACACTTTATGAGGTGCGTCTCTGAAACCTCGCCAGTTCTCATGGCCAGGTGTGTAGCCACTAGGAATTTAAGTGGCAACTTGATCCTTAGCTGTTTCTCCATGATTTTCTGCCTGATTATAAATACTGCTTTGTGAAAATCCAACCACACCACAGTCTCAGTCGAGCTGAATTTTTCTGAAACTTAACTTTCCTTCCTGGTCATAGAGCATCTGTTTCCAGTCAAGAGCCAGGGTGAGCCCGGATTCCACGTGGTCTGCCGCAGAAGGCCCAGCCATGGTACTTAAAACCTCGTGGGCCTCAGATAATTGGCCTCCAAACCAAATTCAGCTGCTGGGGCCTGATCAGAAACTGCTGGGTTTCTTTTCCCTAAGCCGATTTAATTCCCACCCCGAAGCCCTCTGACCTTGTTTCCTTTCTTTCAATGGCCTAATTCCTGGAAAATGGAGTCTGGAAATAACCCAGGGACTACTTGGGTGGGCTCCAAAGGTTCAGGGAGAAGAGATAGAACTGAAGGGTACAAAAGGGATGGAGAGAGAAGCCAGGCACAGAGGCCACATCTTGTGACTCCATTTATAGGAAATGTACCAAGTAGGTAAATCCGTAGAAACAGCAAGCAGATCGGTGGCTGCTAAGGGGTGGGAGAGACGGAATGGGGAGCAACTACTTATGGGTACAGAGTCTCCTTTGAGGGTGATGAAAATGTTTTGGAGCTAGAGGTAATGATTGCACGACATTGGGAATGTACTGACACTGAATGGTATCCTTTAAAATGGTTAATTTTTTGGTATGTGAACTTCATCTCAAAAAAAAAAAGAGGGAAGGAAAAAAGAGGGGGTGGATCAGAATGAGGAAGGAAGCCCTGCAGCTCAAGAGCAAGAGCTACAGAGATGTTCTAGAAAAGAACACAGCTGATACTAAATTAACTCCTTGCTTTCCAACCCAATGCCTCAGGCTGAATGCCTGCAGTTTCCCTGGGAGCTTTGGCTGAGGAATTGTGCCCAGGGCCAGCTGGTTGGCCCCCTGTAGCTAAGAAAGTTCTGCCTCTTCAAAGCATCTGCATCTGGGCTGTTTTCTCTGACAACATTTTTAAAGGGAGGGCCCCTTCCTATTTCAAAAGTAGAAAATGAGCTCAAGTGTCATGAAGTACAGTGGGGAAATATATTTATTTGTTTGTTTGTTTGAGATGGAGTCTTGCTCTGTGGCCAGGCTGGAGTACAGTGGCACAATCTCGACTCACTATAACTCTGCCTCCCGGATTCAAGCAATTCTCCTGCCTCAGCCTCCCCAGTAACTGGGACTATAGGCATGTGCCACCATGCCTGGCTAGTTCTTTCTATTTTTAGTAGAGACAGGGTTTCACCATGTTGGCCAGGATGGTCTCAATCTCCTGAACTCATGATTCAGCCGCCTCAGCCTCCCAAAGTGCTGGGATTACAGGTGTGAGTCACAGGACCTGGCCTATTTTTTTTTAAATAGAGGATTCTCAGCCTTCTTTTTCAGAAATACTAAAAATATACATTGCCTTTTCTAAATTAAATTTAATTCCTATTTTGAACCCCCATCCTGCTTCATAGCAAAAACTTAATTATCTTATTCAGTTCAGTGTCTGGCATTTCCCTTCTCCAGGATACCCCCTGAATTCCAGGTGCCTCACATGCTGTGAAGATGTTTGCTCCTTGCCGTCTTCATGTATTCATGCCAGCTGCCGTGATGGCCTGGACGTCTAGATTACATTTGCTTTGTCTCTGCAGCAAGTCTTCTCCAGGTCTGCAGAGTCTCTATGCCACTTCTCTGCTCCCCATGGAGGTCTGGGGACACCTGAGGGCCCCTATGCCATGTTGGCACCACAAGAAATGAGGTGGAGGCTGAGCACAGTGGCTCACGCCTGTAATCCCAGCACTTTGGGAGGCCAAGACAGGTGGATCTTGTGAGGTAAGGAGTTCAAGACCAGCCTGGCTAACATGGTGAAACACTGTCTCTATTAAAAATAAAAAAATTAGCTGGACTCAGTGGTGGGTGCCTGTAATTCCAGCTACTCAGGAGGCTTAAGCAGGAGAATTACTTGAACCTGGGAGGCAGAGATTGCAGTGAGCCGAGATCATGCCACTGCACTCCAGCCTGGGTGACAAGAGCAAAACTTTGGGGAAGGGGGATTTTTCTTAGACACACAGAAAAATCATTCTACTGCTCCCATGTTACCCAGAGTATTGGAAACTCTTCAAGGCTGACTCAGACCCAGGATGGAGGAGCTATTTCACCCCTACTTCTTTTGTGCCGTCTTGTGGCACAGGAAGAGATCCGTGTATGTGCTCCTTTCCCAGGTTCTACCTGCAAAGTGGGCACAGGTCTTCTCCTCTCTCCAATTCCCCAAACCTGTATACAGTCTCTGAAGTGGGATAAAAATACACATTTGACTCAAAAGCTCAGGTACTTCCTCCTATACAGCATTACCTTGTTGGAAAGAGAGAAAGTGAGTGTGTGTGTGTGTGTGTGGTGTGTGTGTGTGTGTGTGTGTGTGTGTGTGTCCTGCTCTGTCACCCAGGCTGGAATGCAGCCTCGCCCTCTCCTGGGCTCAAGTGATCCTCCTGTCTCAGCCTCCTGCATAGCTAGGACTATAGGAATGCACCAGCACGCTCGGCTACCTTGTTGGATTTCATTGGCATCTTAGAAAGATGTAAATGTTTTTATAGCAGTTGAGGTAAGGAGATTTCAGATAGAAAAACAAGTAGTCCTACATAGTGGAGCCTCAAGAGCATTGTTAATAGGGTGCAAAAACACACTGTCAAGAAGTTTGTCTTGACAGTGTACCCCTGCCTGCTCTGTGCTCACTACCACACATTTCACAAAAGCTCCAGGGTCTGGATAGAAAAGCCCCTGGGAAGAAATTAACTTGGAAAGTCAAAAAGACACAGGTGTTTATACAGAAATGAATAGCTGAACAATTCCAGGCAATGAGCAAACCTTGAAAACATGCTGGCCGGGCACGGTGGCTCACACCTGTAATCCCAGCACTTTCGGAGGCGGTGGCTGGTGGATCACTTGAGGTCAGGAGTTCAAGACCAGCTTGGCCAACATAGTGAAACCCCATCTCAATTAAAAAATAAAAAGAAAAAGAGAAAACATGCTAAGTGAAGGAAACCAAACACAAAAGCCATATATCCATTTATATGAAATGTCCACAGTAGGTAGATCCATTGAGACACAAAGCAGACTGGTGGTTGCCAGGGACTAGGAGGAAGTAGAAAGCGGGGGGGTGACTATTTAATGAGTTTGGCATTTCTTTTTGGGATGATGAAATTGTTCTGGAATTAGTTGTGATAGTTGTACATTGTGAATGTCCTGGAAGTTACTGAATTACACACTTCATAATTGTAAAAATAGTGAATTATTATGTGAATTTTACCCCCTTTAAAAAAAAATTCTAGGCCAGGTGCAGGGGGTCAATGCCTGTAATCTCAACACATTAGAAGGCCAAGGAAGGCAGATCACTTGAGTCCAGGAGTTGGAGACTGATCTGGGCAACATGGGGAAACCTCATCTCTATAAAAAAAAAAAAAATGCAAAATTTAGCCAGGCATGGTAGCATATGCCTGTGGTCCCAGCCACTGGGGAGGCTGAGGTGGGAGGATCACCTGAGCCCAGGGAGGTCAAGTCTGCAGTGAGATGTGATCTCACCACTGTACTCTAGCCTGGGCAACAGAGTGAGATCCTGTCTCAGAAAAAAAAAATCAAGATATACTTGGGTTTAGTCATTAAGACCATTTTGTGTCTGCTTAGAGGTCTCAGGGAGGGAATCTGCCTTGGAGCAGGGTTTGGGGGTATGCTATTATCTCCTAGCTTCTGTCTTTGGATATGCAGTTCAGGACAGTTTAACTCCATCATCTCGCCACTTTAAAAAATTTTTTTTTTTTTTTTTTTTGAGACAGATTTTTGTTCTTGTTACCCAGGCTGGAGTGCAATGGCGCAATCTCGGCTCACCGCAACCTCCGCCTCCTGGGTTCAGGCAATTCTCCTGCCTTAGCCTCCT